CCTTGGGCGGAGACTGTTATCTGCTAGTGGGAGCAGCTGGGTAAATGCTTGGTGGGCAACTGACCTAGCTGCTGAGTAGTTGTTGTTGCTTAATGGGGCAATCCATGGCTCTTGGACTGCAATGATATCAACTTTAAGCTTGACTGCTAGTTGTAGCGTTGACTCTGTGGCGTGTAGGCTCTTGTTTAGGTTCACTTGTAGAATCTTAATGTTCTCTAACATAGAGATGGCTGCTAAGGGCCTCTCTTTGTTATAGCTAGAAAGATCTCGCAGTCTTTGCTATTAGCGAAGTGGGGCTTTTTACAGTTGTAGCACTTGGGGAGAGTGTGTCTGCATGGCTTTCCTTTCATGCTGCAGCTTGAGCAGTTGTGCTGAGCAGTTGTGTGGCTTTCTGCGCACAGCTGGCATGCTGCTTAGTTTTAGCACCTGTTTGCGTTGTGGCCAAAGGCTTGGCAGTTAGAGCACTACGTTGTAGGTGGCGTGGACCTGTATTTCTCGGTTCGGAGAGACTGGTCTAGGATTGTGATCCTACTGCCTATCTTCTTAGCTTCCTCTTCTGTCTTAAAGGCAACTACTATAGAGCTAGTCTGCTTGCTCTTCTAGTTCTTTGTTAACTAGTAGGGGTTGCTAACAATAGTTTGTCCTTTGTTGTAGGTTGGGATCTTGTTGTGGAGGACCTGGAGCGATTTGGCTCCTTCGAACGTTGTTGGCACTCTATGGACTACTACCTTAGTCCAGGCTTCAATTAGTTGGGCCTTTTTGACTTGGAGTTGGTTTTGCCAGGTGTTAATTTGCTGTAGTAGAAATTCGCCAGAGTATCCTTTAGTTGTTGTGATGATTAGGTTGTTCTTTCTGCTAACCAACACCTCTTTAACAACAGGGGCTGTTATGCCTGCCTTCTAGAAAGCTTAATTAATTTTATTCCTGACTATTAGCGGGCTAGTTAACTGGCCTTCTTCTAGCGTTAGAAGCATCTAGTAGTGAGCGGCTGGCTTCTTTAGGTTGGCTTTCTTCCTTAGCTGTACTGTTATCTAGGGCTAGCTTGTTGTGTTCTTAGCTGCGATTGTAGCGTATAAGGCCTAGGGCTTTTAAGTTAGTTAGGAAGGAGTAGGAGCTACTATTGTAGCTACAGTTATGGCCTTCTTTAGTGTTTTTATTGCCTGTTAGGAGGCGTTTGCAAGAGCAGCTAAGTGATAGGCGAGTTTGGCGGACAGTTTGTTGGCAAACTGGTTTACTACTCTGCCTTTCTCGGTGTAGTCTCTAAAGACGTCTAGTAACTCTAGGAGCTTATCTTGGGCCACATGAGATTCAGCCATAGTTGACGCTTAGAGAATCAGGTCTCTCGCCCAGTAGATGGCCTGCTCCGAGTTCTTGGCAGTTGGTTTTGAGGTAGAGGAGTTCTGGAAGGGGTTTCTGCCTCTATAGGCAGCCTCTGGCGAGAAGTTGGCTTGGCGCTTTTTTGGTGGTAGGATTGGGATTTCAAAGACGCTCTCTTGGCTGGCTGGTTGCTGGGTAGGAGTGGCTGGGTAGGGGTCCTCTCTGTCCATTTCCCTGTCGATCTGAGCCTCTGGGCCTAGGCTCTCTTGCCTCTGTTCTAGCACTTGGGCTTTAATAGTATCGCTTTCTGGTGGCATTCTGTTGCTAGGGTTCTCTTATTACTAAGCAGAGTAGTCTGTGTGTTTTTATTTTAAGTGTAAGACGTGTCCTAACTATCTGCTCTTATAGCTTATAGCTCCACAGCGCGCACGCTGCACGTCTTAAAACTTGCTATAATTAGTTTCTTGTAAGGGATTTGTATATATTTAACAAAAATTACACCTATTCTAGAAAACTTGACGTTGGTGTATGAGGCAAAAGGAGATTGCTAAGCTTATTAAAGCAGCAAATAAGGCCGCAACGCGACGAAAATTGCATAAAAGAAAGTGGGTTTAGGCGGAGGGGACCTTAATAGTTAAAGATAGGGCGCGCTTAACTGCTCTCTAGGACTTTAGGGTGCGTAGTAATAGGA